AGCGCCGGAGCGACTCGAACCCGGGCTCTCACTACCGGGAGTCCGGTGCTCTACCAGCTGAGCTGTGGGACGGGCAGGACAGGGCATTTATTCGAACACAACTTCCCAACATCAACTCACATGTTGTTGAACGTTCATTGTGACATGTATGACTAGATAAGTGAAACTTTTTAAATATAAAGGTTCTCGGCTTTCTATAATACAGTACCTTTAAATTTAAAAAGTTTCACTTATCTAGTCATCAACTCACACTCTTCCAACATCAACCAGTTTCTCATAATTCCAAGCACTGGTGGTCGGTGTGAAATGTTCACCAGCGCGCGCGTCTGACTCTCTCCGTCTTCTGTCCGCGACCGTCAGGTGATCGCGTCCATGACAGTGGGTAAGGATGTGTCGGCTCTGTTTCCCGACGTGGTCAACTGCATGCAGACAGACAACCTGGAGCTGAAGAAGCTCGTCTATCTCTACCTGATGAACTACGCCAAGAGCCAGCCGGACATGGCCATCATGGCCGTCAACACGTTCGTCAAGGTGGGTGACCCTTTACGTCCAGGCTCATTATGTTTTGGAACTTAACAGTCTGATCAAATTCTGGGATCTTGGGAGCAATGTTCCGTGTCTTTTAGTGCAGAGAAGATATCGAGTGGTTTTATTATCGATGCCTGACAATGACTGGATCAACACTCTATAGTTGTCAGTATAGTTGTCAGTCCATGAAGCTAGTATTTTTTTTTTCATTTGCCTGCTCGCCAATATCTCTTGTCCCCGCCATCGGTGTAAGTTTATTTTGTTGGAATAGTTCAACGAATAAAAAGTGACCGTGATAATGCAGTATTCATGGATTTATCGCATTTCCATGTTTGCTTTATTGATCACTGACAGCACCCACTTTATGATATACCATTGGTTATGTTTGTTCCGTGTTTGTTTATTTGTGGTTGTTCTGTGTTCACCGGCATGTAATCGTAAAGCTAGTCTCTTCCCATTCCCATATTCAGTCCCATCCCCGTAACCCCTTACCCCGTGCTGTCCAGCGCCCTGTAGCCCATCAACTCGTCGATTCGCGGACAACAGTACTTATCGCAAATGTTCGTAAGCAGAAGTACGTAGGCGATTGAGTATGTAAGGACAAAAGTGCGTATCGCTAAAAATAACGTAACCTGACCAGATCCAACTTCTAACCTAACCCAACGTATTCCAATCCATTCCAACTAAACGTGACCCAACCTAACCTAACCAATGCGTTGGTTCATACGTACAGAAACGGACGTTTGTGACGCGTGTATTTGTCTGCAACCCCAACCTCCCTGCGTCCCTCCCTCAGGACTGCGAGGACAGCAACCCGCTGATCCGCGCGCTGGCAGTGCGCACCATGGGCTGCATCCGCGTCGACAAGATCACCGAATACCTGTGCGAGCCTCAGAAAGTGTCTGCTCGACGAGGATCCGTATGTGCGCAAGACGGCCGCCGTGTGTGTGGCAAAGCTGCACGACATCAACGCCTCGCTGGTGGAGGACCAGGGCTTCCTGGACCAGCTGAAGGAGCTGCTGTCCGACTCGAACCCCATGGTCAGTGAGATGAGAGGACAGGGCCGGATCTTGGAGGGTGTTGACTGTGGAGTGTGGATTGTGGATGGAACAGTGCTAACTGGCGATAGACTGGCTCTGTGGTAGTTTTTTTTTATTGTTAGCTGTTAGCTGGACCAGTCATGAATGAAAATGAGTGTTTGATAATTCCAAATTTCGCTAGCTTCCTTGCGTTTTCCTTGTTTCTTAGCGCTATATACCTGCGCTTATATGGTGCATGTTGATGACATCAATATTATCACTGCATAAGTAATATGCAGAGATGCTGGATCATTTGCATAGCTACGCTTTTTCTACGACGGATGTTTTTGCCGCTCTCAATTCAGCCTGAAGATTTTATGGTGTTTCTCTGCCCCGATCTTTTGACGTCACCGAGCCACCTCTATGCTTTACCAGTGAACTGTGCTGACTAACTGCCGTTTCCAGGTGGTGGCTAACGCTGTGGCGGCGCTCACTGAGATCAACGAGACCCGCAGCGGCAACCCGCTGATGGAGATGAACGCGCAGACCATCAACAAGCTGCTGACGGCGCTGAACGAGTGCACCGAGTGGGGCCAGGTGTTCATACTGGACAGCCTGTCCAACTACAACCCAAAGGATGAGCGCGAGGCGCAGAGGTGTGTGTGGAGTATGACTGATGGCGGTTTGGGGCTGGGCTGGACAGTGATGTGACTCAACATGGTATGACAGTGGGGGGCGGTGTGGGGATGGGCTGGGCAGTGGCTCACCATGGTATGGGGACCGACGCGGTCCTGTTATGCCACTGTCCCGTGACTATTGATCGCCATTTAATAAGCTCATTGTTTGCATGCTTACATTGATTTTGCTTACTCATGTAGTTCGACACTTGTATTCCATTTCAAAACATCAGTTTCATCCTCTCTATGCCCAGTTTATTCTGAGCTGGCGTTAGTCCAACCCCCATCGGTTAGTCCCGTGTCACTGTACCAAAGGACGGCCTGACCCCCCGACCTTGATCTATCTGCTCCTACTGTGACCTGGCCACCGGCCCCGAGCGCCGACGTGCCTGACAACCTTCTCGAAACGTAACCACCAGCCCTGTCCATTCCTAACCTTACCACTTTACCCTGGCCTGACCTGACTACATGACCCTAACCTCACTACGCCGATGACCACTGTAGTCCGGGCGCCCCCCCCCCCTAACCTCACTACCTGCCGCTTCCCTAACCTGACCAGTGACCACCTGCCGTATCCTCACTACCCCCCCCCTACCCCAACCTGACCACCTGTTCCCGTCTTAACCTCACCGCCTGCCCGTACCCTAACCTCACTACCGTTCTGCTCCTACCTTGACTTAGTAACCACCAGTCCTGCCTGACCATAACATCACCATCTGCCCCTAACCTGACTTCACTACCTTCATCTACCCATTGTACCCTAACCTGGCTTACCTGACACCAACTACCCCGACCCTGACCTGTCCGTCCCTCCCCCAGCATCTGCGAGCGCATCACCCCGCGTCTGGCGCACGCCAACGCCGCTGTGGTGCTGTCGGCGGTGAAAGTGCTGATGCGCTTCATGGAGCTGATGCCGTCCGACTCAGAGTTCGTGACCAACATCACCAAGAAGCTGTCGCCGCCGCTGGTGACTCTGCTCAGCTCTGAGCCGGAGGTCGGTGTGATCGGAGACAGGGAGGGAGGGAAGGGATGGTTGGTAAATCGTGAACGTCTGAAGGAAAGGGGGGAGGGGGAGGGGAGGGGTTTGTGGAGGGTTGGTGTCAGCAAGGTGATGGTTCATAAAAAAATTTGTCAGCTGGTGGCATGCTTTGCTTTAATATTTTGGACTGAGCTACTAGCCCATCTTATTGCAGGCAGTAGCGCCTTCATGTTGAATGTTAAAATTGAAGATAAAATACTGGCATCTTAAATTACTTACCTCATAGGAGCAAGCTTTTGACGTTTGAATGTGATTCACCCGACACCTATGAGTTGATGTGTCATTCAGGCCTCGTAGATGACACACCATACATCTCATACGTTCCTTAGAATGCACTCGTACGGTATAGCGACTGTCACCCGGCTGACCGTGCTATGCTGTCTGCGTCACAGGTGCAGTACGTGGCCCTGCGCAACATCAACCTGGTGGTGCAGAAGCGGCCCGACATCCTCAAGAACGAGATGAAGGTGTTCTTCGTCAAGTACAACGACCCCATCTACGTCAAGCTGGAGAAGCTGGACATCATGATCCGTCTGGCAAACCAGAGCAACATCGCCCAGGTCCTCTCCGAGCTGAAAGAGTGAGTGAAACAGCGTGTAATGACTTTCGCTTGTCTGGCTATAATATTGCGGTTGATAATGAGTTTTTCAATCTTCGCCTAAAATAATATGAATTGCCAAGCAGGACCTATTAGACCTTAAAACGTCATCTTGTTGTTTACTACAGGTTAGTGTGCTCTCATGCTCAGACAGTAGACATGCCATCGAGGATTACCCATAATCTCTACGAAAAGTGATAATAATGTTGTTATTTGTGTTGTTCCACATCCCGGATACGACACTGCGGCTGGCGGCGACTGTGCAAAATACCGTTTGTGATGTGTTTTGTATGCTTGTGACAACCGACTTGATACATACCTCTTACGTAAGTCTGTGTTTGTGACATGTTTGTGTGTTTGTCCACTGTCAGGTACGCCACGGAGGTGGATGTGGACTTTGTGCGGAAGTGACTATATGTTTGTGACATGTTTGTGTGTTTGTCCACTGTCAGGTACGCCACGGAGGTGGATGTGGACTTTGTGCGGAAGGCGGTGCGCGCGATCGGCCGTTGCGCCATCAAGGTGGAACAGTCCTCGGAGCGCTGCGTCTCCACACTGCTCGACCTGATTCAGACCAAGGTGAGTTCGGCCGACGCGGTCCCAGCCGTTATCGCAAGGAAGGAAAGTGCGGCGTAAATGCGTAGCTGTTTTTTTAACTTAAATTCGAAAGGCGCGATGTTTAATGTTTAATGAAGTGGCCCGGGGCTATCCAAGTCCAGACGTGGGTTGTACTCCTTGCAGTTAAGTTGCCACACAAATTTCCTTTTAGCATGGTCGACCATGGTCCTGCTTAGTCATCTACGCTCAATCTCTTCATGATTGTACTTGGGAGTGTTTCGTTGATTCCTTCGTGCTGGAGACATCTCAAACGTGTAGTCTTTTGCAGTGATACTTTCAGCTGTTTGGTCGATCTATTCGCACGACTGTCAATGCTCACTTCAATCCTTTTCGCCCCAGGTGAACTACGTCGTCCCAAGAAGCCATTGTGGTGATCAAGGACATTTTCCGCAAGTACCCCAACAAGTACGAGAGCATCATCTCCACCCTGTGCGAGAACCTGGACACGCTGGACGAGCCTGAAGCGCGGTACGTAGCCTGGGTGTCGGTGTGGGGAGGCTGTTGTTCGCTGGTCTCCCACTCCCGCGAGTCCCGCTCGTGCTTCGGAACGTCTGGGATGTGGCCAAACTTTTGTTCACAACTATTTGTTTGCCACAATGTTTTGTCTAGATTGCTCCCGGCCCATGAATGTCTGGCAACTTTTCGTAAATGTATTTTCTTGATTGCTGTTAGGGGCCAAAAACTCTTTTTCAATCATCGCGGATATGAAATTTTCGAACATTGTTCACTGGTCCTTGTTTTTATTTTTCCGTCACAGATAACAGTAGTACTACTACTGTTAGTAGTAGTTAGTTAGTTAGTTAGTAGTACTACTGTTATCTGTGTTTCCGTCTATCCTCTGCAAAAAGGAAAGCAAAGCAAAAACGTGCATCACGGCTTCCTTTTCCTTGCTGTGTCGGCCACTGTATCTGGGTACTCTGCGCATCTTTTCCCCGAGTCCATTTATTCCATCTCCACGCTACCAATGGAATTGCCCGCGATGCCGACTGACTATCCCTCTCTGGTGTCGCTGACAGAGCCTCTATGATCTGGATTATCGGCGAGTACGCAGAGCGAATTGACAACGCTGACGAGCTGCTGGAGAGTTTCCTGGAGGGTTTCCACGACGAGAACAGCCAGGTGCAGCTTCAGCTGCTCACAGCCATTGTCAAGCTCTTCCTCAAACGGCCGTCCGATACACAGGAGCTCGTGCAGCAGGTGGGTGTATGTGGGCCGACAGTTGGTGTCTCGCTCGCTCACTCAGTCACTCAGTCACTCACTCAGTCCTCACTCTTTCACTCGCTCACTCACTCACTCACTCACTCACTCACTCACATCGCTTTCACTGGCCCATTCGCCCACTCACTCATTTGCTCGCTCACATCGTCACTCAGTTACTCACTCACTCACTCACTCACTCACTCACTCACTCACTCACTCACTCACTCACTCACTCGCTCGCTCGCTCGCTCGCTCGCTTCTCTCCCATCCCCGCTCTCTTGCTTCGGACTGTTCCCCTACCCCTCCCAAGCCCCCAGGCCAAAACTCTAGCATATCGAACTTCTTTCCTTATTCCCTGGTCTCCTTATCCGCTCAGGCATAGACCTCTGTATACAGAGGTCTATGGCTCAGGTCAATCTTAAGTCTCGCCTCCCACTCATCATCGCCTTCTCATCATTCACCCTGGTCCGAACCAACGCCTGTCGGCGCATCCTATCTTACTTCTTCTTACCAGATTCATTACCAGATTCTTAGCACCAGATTCAGTGCACTCTTTCATCTCGACATCACCCTCCCCCCCCCTCCCCAAACACACACCGCCATCCGGGTCAGGAGGCGTTTGCTGTATATATTTTGGTGACATAGCATTTCAAGACTAATTTAACCCTCGCCCTGGCAGGGGGGGGGGGTCGATGCGACCCCCCCCCCCCTAAGGTTTTTCAAAGATAGCGTAAAAAAACGGCGGCGCTGCATTTGGCACAGCCTATGGGGCAACCTTTTTACATATGACCTGAAAATTTTAGGTCCGGGTGACCTTGGGTCAGGTCACCAGGTCAGAAAAACCGGTACAAGGTCATGGTCAAATTTCAATTTTCTTTTTGCACCTGTCCAACTCACAGCTTTGCACTGATTTCCTTCAAACTTTCAGGATGTGCTAAGTTCACCGAGTTGTATAACATATAGTTCGGGTTTTTTGAGGTCACTGACCTGAGGTCAGTTAGAGGTCATTACGTCGTAATGTTAAGCCTATGGGAAAATACTAAATTCGGAAAATACTGGAGATATCCGCTTCGTTCTATCACTTTTGTGCTTTAAAACCACAGAACTTAACAGCAGGTCACTTGGTGCTTCTTTGTTTGGTGTACTTATCCATGGGTCAGGTCAAATGAGGTCAACTGAGGTCAAATGACGTTTTTGCCAATAACTTGGCACATAATGACGCTAGAGCTTAAAAAATGGTATCATTGTGTTCCTGGTGATCAGCCGAATCGAATGATATGCGATATGATGCAATTTGGTTAACTTGAACTTAACTTATTAATTTAAGTTTACTTAAAATTTAAGAAAAACTTTAAGTACACCTAATCAAGCTAAAAAGTATATCATTCGACGCGCCTTGACGTGCTGAGTTCACTGGTGCTTTTCTTTTTGCTCTATCTTAATTAGATCAAAAGTTATAAGCGAAAAACTTTTGACCTGTTTTTAGCGAAATTTTTACATTTATACCCCCCAAAACCCCCCTAAATATTGACCTAGAGCAACCAAATTTGCACAGGGGCGAGAACTCCAGGGGGCCCACCTACCTACCAAATTTGGTGTTTCTAGGTGCCATAGGAGCCAATCGCGAGGGGGGGGGGTCGCATCGACCCCCCCCCCCCCTGCCAGGCCGTGTTATGAAAAATGCCCTGCCAGGGCGAGGGTTAATGAATGTGACGAATTGTCCGTCATTTTGTTTCGGTTTGCATTGTTGTCCTGCCTAGCCCGTGCCTGTGTGATCTAAGCTGCAAGGCTGGTGTTGATTTCTAGGCTGGCTTTTGAGAAGCCAAGCAGGACGTGCACCTTCTAATGCTTCTATTTTTAACGGCCGAATGTCACATCCTACGCCACCACAGCCACCAGCAAACTTCAAAAAGTCTTAGAACTTCACCGTTCGTGATTGGTTTCAAAAACTCATTCGGTCCTTCAGCGGCACACGATTTCACCCGAAAGCCGGGCGCCAAATAATCTTTTCCCGGGCTCGCTGACATACCAAATGAATCTTTAAAGCGAGCCAATTATCACCTCGCTTTGAGAGTGGCGGGCCGTGGGCTCGCGTACGTGTGGCGTCATAAACCGCGCCTAATCTCTCTGAGTGGGGTAATGGAGCAAGTTGGCGCGCCGGCCGCGGACAGTTGGCGCGCCGGCCGCTGCGAAGTTGGCGCGAACCATTAGCCAGCTGACTAGGCGCGGGTCGGCGCGCCGCGCGCGGCCGGCACAAGTTGTCGGCGCGGCCGGCGGATGCGGGTAATACGCAACCGAAGTGTGACGTCATGACTACTGACTGGGGCATAATCAGCTGACGGCCCTGTGTTAAAGCAATGGGACGAAATTTTATCAGCATTTTTAGAACAAACTGGACCTAGTTAGATAGTTTGGGGGCCAGTTTCTAGGTAAACTGAGTATATTCTATTTTTCTACGCCCAAAAAATGCTATGTTTCAAAGCGGAAAGGACCAAATTTCACGAAATTGTTACGGGCGGCGAACTTGACGCACCAAATACATGACCTTGAGATGCGAACTGTGACCGCGTCGGGAGGATTTTGATGTGTAAGGTTTGACATATTTGAGTTTGAGCTGGATAAATATTTTTTATTTGTAAAAAGCAAAGGAGAAAATCCACCATATAAGTTATTTTGAAAATCTTTTTTATTTTAAATCCGTTATTTTAAACCTCTTGATCTAAAATATTTTGTATTTCTGCGTCAACTTCGCCGCCAATTAGGTTTTCACGAAATTTTGTGCTTTGCGTTGTTAGATTTTGCAATATTTTTTCATAGAAAAATAGATCATACATCGTTGTCCTAAATTCAGCTACTAAAACTATCTAACTAGGTCCAGTTTTCTTGGGAAAGATCGGCAAAATATTGCCCCATTGCTTTAGCACGGGGCCGTCAGCTGATTATGCCCCAGCCACTTATCGTGACGTCACGACTTCGGTTGCGTATTGCCACCGGCAGCGGAGGTGGAGGCGTTGTGCCGCATTTGGCGGTCAGTGTGGGGGCGGTACCGGCGACACGGCACGAGACTCCCTCCCTCTCCCTCCGTTTCCGATGCCCCAAGAGAGCAAGATGACGACCTCCGGCATAAAGCTGTCGGGGATCGGAGGGATTCTTCCGATTGCTCATCTAGGTGTCTGGGATGAACTATGTGACTCCGTGGTCTCGATTCAGTGATGCGAATTATTTCTTTTATAATTATTTTCGCCCGGCGGATGCACTTGAGCTCTTGGCTGGAGTCAGTTTACGACCAATTTATGATACGGGAAATAAATAATCGAGTTATCGTGCCTCCCATAATCTTTGGTATTTGTGGCATCCCGAGGACTTCGTCGAACAAATTGTTACTTTAATATTTAGCTGAAGAAGCTCTTTGATGATCAGAAATGAACAACCTGTAATTGAGCTCATTGCCATCCTAGGTATTCAGTACAACGTTCAAAGGACTTGGTTAGCATGGAAGCGTTCTTTTTTTTTCATTACACTATGCAACAGTCATTTTGTTCCTGAGTAACGACCGATTTTTTTGAACTCATTGGGTGTCATCACAACCGAAATGGGCATTTGTTTTGATCTGAAAATGCTTTTCCGGTTTTCAGAGACGATTTTCGATTTTTGGCCCCGAAATTCGGTTTTTGGCCCACCGTGTCCGGTGTAATTGAGTAATCGACTCGTGGTAACTTTCATCGCCTTTCCTATGCCACAAGCTTTCGAATGATATCCGGTTTTGCATATTTGCGTGTAAAAATAACGTCATAAATCTATGTTAACCCTATTCCTGGCGGGGGGGGGGGCCTCAGGAGCCCCCCCCTGAGGTTTTTTGGTTATTTCTCCCAAACGCTTTGAGCTAGGAAGCTCAAATTTTCTGACTTTTCCTAAAAGGCTTTTACGCAACATTTCTGAAAATTTTGAGTTGATCTGACCTCAGGTCAGGTCACCAGAGGCGGTTTGGTGACCCTACCTCAGAAAAGTTTGCAATCACGCCAGAGCTAGAGTTTTTGACCGATCAATTTCTTCTCTTCAGGCTTTAGTTAGGGTACCAGTATGTGCAATTTGTATATCTCAGAATTTTCATATTCTGTGACCTGAGGTCAGGCCAGACTCGTGACCTTTACATTGCAAGCGTATGGGAAAATATTGAAACGCCTCCTGCTTCGTGTAAACGAGTCAAAACCACCCAATTCTTTCAGTATTATGGAAGATTATCTCATCGGTGATGATCCTGGTGCCGCTAATTGACAGGGGCACCGGCAAAGGTCATCTGAGGTCATGTGACGTCATAAATCGTTTTTCTGTCAATAAATCACGACATGGTGGTGCTAAAGACTTGTAAGTGGTACCAAACTGCTCGCCTGGTCAAGGCGCGTCGTTTGGTATGCAGCATGACCATACCTCACAACCTCATTGATGAATGACCTGACCTTGACCTCAGGTCAAATTTCAAATTGACCTGTGAAGGTCATCACATACTTATTTCGCATCGCCTCGGCGAGAGCAACAAAAAATGTATTGGTTTTATGTCTCTATGTTTCTTAGTTTAAAAGTTATATAGGTAACTAATTCCAAAACATTTTATCGTTGATGAGCTCTGGTGACCTCAATATTGACCTGACCTGAAAATGTTTAATGTAAAAGTTGTAGATCTTTAAACGACCTATCAAACGCCGTTCGCCGTTTGTCGCTGCGATGTGTAGTTTTTGAGATCTGAAGGGGGGGCGAATCGGCCCCCCCCCCCGCCAGTTTCTTGTCCCGGCGGAGCCCGCCAGGAATAGGGTTAAAGTAAGAAAATGTCGAAACTTCGTAAAAATTTGACATTTTTTCCAATTTCATTTCAAAATAGAGAAAAAACTAAAGACCCTATCCAAATTCTGAGCCCAGTTCCTTGAAGAGCATTCAATTTCCGTTCGGAAGGTACTATTTTAGTGCATTTTATCGGTTTACTGTGGCGTCCAGATTGAGTCACTGGAAAAACGGGCCCCCAGCCATTTCCATGACAATATGTGTTCAGTGCATGAAGAACCATTCTAACAAATGGAGGTACAGATCAAGATTCTGAGCGACAGGACTGCTCAAAACTAAGTTCCTGCGTGTGACACGAGGTCACAAGGGGTCAACAACATGACCTCAGTTGACCCCTCGTTGACCCTATGGCGTTAACATACGTTATCAGGTTAATGCTATGTGATATGACCTAGGATATGTGTTTAGGTTAACTCAATCTGGACGCCACAGGAATCCGATAAAATGCACTAAAAAAGTACCTTCCGAACGGAAATTGAATTCTCTTCAAGGAACTGGGCTCAGAATTTGGATAGGGTCTTTAGTTTTTTCTCTATTTTGAAATGAAATCGAAAAAAATGTCAATTTTTTTTTACAAATTTCAACATTTTCTTACTTTAACATAGATTTATGACGTTATTTTTACACGCAAATATGCAAAATCGGATATCATTCGAAAGCTTGTGGCATAGGAAAGGCGATGAAAGTTACCACGAGTCGATTACTCAATTACACCGGACACGGTGGGCCATAAACCGAATTTCGGGGCCAAAAATCGAAAATCGTCTCTGAAAACCGGAAAAGCATTTTCAGATCAAAACAAATGTCCATTTCGGTTATGATAGGACCCAATGAATAAGAAAAAATCGGTCGCTTTCCAGGAACAGAAAATCTTTCATTTTTTGTTGCATAGTGAATTATTGACACTGCTGGCTGCGGCTGCTTACTGCTAACTCTGCGGCTCTGTCCATCTAACGCTGCCCTCCCGCGACCCCCAGGTGCTGAGTCTGGCTACCCAGGACTCTGACAACCCGGACCTGCGCGACCGCGGCTTCATCTACTGGCGTCTTCTGTCCACCGACCCGGCCGCCGCCAAGGAGGTGGTGCTGGCAGAGAAGCCGCTCATCTCGGAGGAGACGGACCTGCTGGAGCCGACGCTGCTCGACGAGCTCGTCTGCCACATCTCCAGTCTGGCGTCCGTCTACCACAAACCGCCCAGCGCCTTTGTCGAGGGTGAGCGAGGGAGAGGGTTGGCATCGGTCTGGTTCTTGGAGTGGGGAAACACTGGGTGGACTGATCTTTTCCCCGTTTGTGAGAGGATAAGGGAATAGTTGGTCTGTGGCCGTTTTCGAACACGTGAGTGTCGCAATGTTCGTTCGTAACTTTGTGAGCTGATCCGGTTCGCAAGATCTGGTGCAGTTGGCAAGTTAGTTGCAGCTCGGCTTGTGATTTACCAACAAACTATGCTTGACGTAATTAAAGGAGTGCACTTAGTAGTTTTGGCTGTTTCTTTGGGAGCCCTGCTTTCGACATTGCTTTAATTAATTATCGAAACTTGTGAGCTACCCAGCAGTCGAGCTACGCTGCCACTTTGCAAATAAGTGTGCTTCCTACTGCTGCGCCATCGCTATGCAAAGTAATAATTTAGTTAGGTACTCTTGCAAGGATCAGAATTTAGGTAACTGCCCTCCAGGGCCCAATTTTACCAAATGCCGTGAATGCGCAATCATGGCATTTGGCAACGTTCAGAACTATTCCACATTCACTTATTCATTCGTTCAGGCAACATTCATAATCATTCACAGTCATTAAACTCATGCTGGACGTAAATAACAATAATACCCGATACCGTTGATATTATTACCGGTAACTCCGGCCATTCCTGCCATATCCTATTCACGGCATTGGTAAGATTGGGCCCTGGTGCCTGTTGTCAGTGATTACGGAGCGAGCGAAGCGAGCGTAGTCTTTCCTTAGATTAACGGAAATTTCTGAGTATGAGCGGCCAGCCGGCCGACCAGCCGTGCGGACACTTTTGCGAGGCTTATATCTCAGCAACCACTTGACCGATTTACACGCGGTAATTTTTGTAGGGTAACTTCATTCCTTCTACCAAGTATTGGACTATTCCCGATGCATGTGGGTGACCCCTTATGCACGTGCCACGTGCAAAACGAAGAGGTGTCAGTTTTGTAATTGTTGCAATATCTCGGTAACTACTTGGCCGATTGCGCTGAAAGTTGGCATGTAGGTAGGCACCCACTAGGCACTGCATATCCATGTGCCAGAGTTAGGGTGCTGCTGCACGTGCGCACGTGCAGGGGTCGTTTCCACATCTCGAGAACGGCTGTACCGATGGCGCTCAAATTTGGTACACGGTTAGGGACCAGTTGTACTCGTAGGGTGCCGTGCACAAGTCAAATGGGACCCATTTTGCACGTGCGCACGTGCAGGGTGCCGCTTCCAGATCTCGAGAACGGCTGGGCCGATTGTGCTCAAATTTGGCACATCGCTAGAGACCGGTTAGTAGGGTGCCGTGCACAAGTCAGTTGGAGGTACCACCTCGAAAATTCGCACGTGCAAGGCCCACCCTCTCGCTCGCTCCGTTAGTCGCCCCAAAAGGCGTTATACTTGTTTCTTTCACTTGCGTTGAAACATAATCATTGAATGGATCTACTTAAATTTACAGCACATCTATATAATTTTCACGCGTACCGTACCAATAGGGAAGTTTAAATATGTCAGTGCCATTGACAACACCTCTTGTGGAGTTCAATGCTGCGATGGACTCCGGTCTGCCTCGCACCTGTGGGACTTCCGGCCGGGTATTGATATTCCGAGTACGAATGATTGCTTCCGCTGAGCTGGCGTGGTGCACTCGCTCACAATATCGTCAAAGATTCCTCGGACAAAGCCCGTCCAGTGATGCGTGGGAGTGCGTTTTCCGGAGATGAAACAGGGGCACTCAGGTTGGGCGTCGTCTGGTCGGGCCGAAGGGGTTTCCGTGTAAGCTATTACCTGCCGTGATCACTCACTGTTGGGCGCGATATAGCCTCGTTGCTGGTGCACCCTGTTACTCCAAGCCATCACCATCATCTCTCACTGTCAAATTACCCTTCGGATGTCACTGTCACCTACCGTTACCTGTTGTCTGACGTCCGCTCCACACCCATCAAAGTCGCAGTGCCGGGTGTGCTGTTGCCTGTTGTTACCTTTCATCTAACCGCGGCTGACGGCTCGCCCAGATCAGATCGCAGTGCTGGCTGTTCTGTTACCTGCACCTGTCTGTTCTGTTCTGTTCTGTTCTATTCTGTTACCTGTTACCTGCACTGTTGCCTGTCACTGTCGCCTCTCGTTACCTGCGACTCTCACCCCGTTACCCGCCATCTGACCACCGCTCCCCCTCCCCCAGGTCGCAGCGCCGGTTTCCGCCGCGTGCCTCTGAAGCCGGACGGCTCGGCAGCGGCGGCGGCGGCGCCGGTCGAGGAGACGCCCCAGGCGACCGTCATCCCGTCACAGGACTCACTGATCGGTGACCTTCTCTCGCTGGACCTCAACCCGCCGGCCTCCCACACGGCTCCCGCGGCGACCAACGTGCCCTCCAACGTGGACCTGCTCGGCGGCGGCCTGGACGCCCTGGTGAGTGGGGGTGGCTGAGTGGCAAGGGGCGGGGCGGCTCATAATGGGAGGGGAGCGGACTTGGTCAGACGCCTGGGTGTGGTCTGGGGGGACCTGAGAGCCATCTGGTTTGTGCTAGTGGGGTTGCGGACTGTTACGTAAGGCATCGATGCAATGTAAGTCTGATCGATACTGTTTTTTCATGTATATTGACCTTCCTCAAACTACCTACCCTTTTCATTGAAATACCTTTTTTCCTGTAGTGGTCCCTGTCTAATGTCTTCATGTGTAAGGCCTTTTGATCGCAACGGCATATGATAGACCATTCCTTTTCCTGACATCTCTCCTCTCCGTCCTTTCTTTATCCTCTCCTGCAGACGTGGATGGGCGGCGGCGTGCACAGCCCAGCCGAGGGGCAGTTCCTGTGCCACCTGCGTGACCCGCACACCCATCGTCCTGCCCGTCCGCCGCTGCCGGCGCCGTCTGCTCAGTCGCCTCTGCCGGCGACCGCACAGTCGCTGCCGCGACGGACATCGCCGCTACGGTCTCCTCTTACGGCTTCCGCCGCCGCTGCCGCCGTCAGCGGCCGTGTCACCAGTCCTATCACTAACCTCGTCACCAGTGGAGTCACTAGTCACGCCACCAGTCCCGTCACCAGCGGGTTCACCGTGGCCGGCATCTGCACCAACCCATTCCTGGCCGGTTTCCTGGACGAAGACACCATCCTGACGCTCGCCACGGATGGCGATGAGCTACTTCTGACTGACCACAGACCGGTATGGGCAGCACTGGGAGGCGAGGTAGATTAATTTATAGCTGGAACGGATCGGAGTGAAGGGAGGAAGGGAGGGAAGGAAGCTAGGTGGTCTGAGCTCAGTTTCCTGCCGTTTTTTTCGTCACAGACGCCGGATATGTGTCGCACTAAGCTGGCGCACGGGTGTTTTTAAATGACTCGCGCTCCGGCGAGAGTCAGTCGAAGCCTTGCCGGGCTGGACCGGCAGGCGGGGACTGAGCTGCAGCGCCGTGGCCTGTTCGCCTGAGGCGGCGGCATGCATCACGCGTGTCCAACTAGTCACATTGCTCATGGCGGGCGGCGGTAACTGCCCGCTGCTCCACGCTCCACGGGCTGTTGGCCAGCCGAACCCTTTTGTTGGCGGTCTAATTTTACGTTAGGTATTAATTGTTGTGGGAATAATTGCACGCTTGTTTGATATGTCGCTCCTCGCTAGAGCATTAACAGACGGACTGAAAAGTCGGTCGGCTGTTTATCATGGTCATTTCTGTTTTATGAGAACTATAAAGGGACCTATGACATTACCACTACATTCACATTTACACTGCGACATTTTTCTAGAGGATCTGTAGAATTACTGTAAGTGGTGTTGTTGGGACGCACAACATGCAAGTTATCTACGTTACTCGACGCACCATAGTTTTGTAGTTGCCGTAACTGCGCTTCCGAAACTTCCTTGGTAAACTCCGAGCCAAACTATTTTTAACTTATTTAATCAGGCGGCTCTTTTTTGTACTTCTGCTAATGCCACACCGCTGCCGGTTGATTGAGTTACGATCTCGACGGGAGCGGTCTCCTGATCTGTGCCGGTATCCAATTATCTGCGCCCGCGAGGTGATCAGACCGTGCGCGCCCGGTTAATGGTGCCCCGGTGTCCATCTGCCGCCGCTGCTGTCCGGATGCCTGGTGGAAGGTCCGGGAGCGCCGGGTGGGATGGGGTGGATAAGGAGAGGTGCCCGCGGGGGATTGCAGTGGTTTGAGTAGCGTGATCGTTTTGGGTTGTAATGCGATCGTGATGATGTGCAGGTTGTAAAGTTATTTGCAATGTGCTCTTTATGAAGGGATTATTCTATCAAATTTTTGACATTCTTGAGATCTCGTGGATGAAAGAATGCCACAAAAAGGCAGCAGCAATCGAGTGTCTGTAGGCCGCTGATTGAAGTTTACAGACTTCTCGCCCGAGACGCTTTTCTATCTGTCAGTCTTACTGTTTTTGACGAGTTGCCATGCCCTCCGCGATCTCGGCCCAGACGGGTGGTCAATTCGAACATCCATGGATGCCATATGACGGCTCTCATCTCCCTTAGAGCTCGTTCTGTCTGATGTATCGGCGACGTTTTAGTTTCAGTTTTGTTTTATTCATTCAGCAGGCATCACCAGTTCCATATTTTTTTTCTGTTTCCAACGACTGAATATGCTACAGCCGTATCGTGTGTTGGCATTTGACAACTTCTATGCACGCCATATTTCTATGCGGCACCTATTGTCTGCTAATATTTTCTATCGTTCGATTTGAATTCTTAGCTTTCTATAATACACCTCTTCTATATAGTATAAAATATTCATATCCGTCAGGTAGCCTAACCCCGATATTCACAGCAGGGACGGCGCAGGGCGCCGTTTTCGCTGCACGGCCGGTGCCGATGTTTCAAGTGTCCGTGACACAGTGCTCTCAATCGGCGCCGGCCGCTGCTAATGACGCTCATCGCAGTAATGACGGGGGCTCGGCGGCCGGCTCCCCAGTCCAGGTGTTAAATCAATAGTCGATGGCGGCGCGGGGCGGGCCGGTCACTCGGCTCGCCTTTTAGCACCCCGGGCCAGGCCGGACCCGTGATTAGGGCCTGTTCGTGCCCCGTCTGCTGCCGACCAGCACTGCGCCCGCCAGGCACCTGACGTGAGCCAGCTTCCTTATGTCAGCGTTCGGTCGATAAGTTTCCAAGTGACGGCAAATATTTCTGGGTTATGATTTTCCGTTATTTGCCTGGTTGCAGCCAATATCCTGTAATGCGGTGTTCAGGTTATTTGTCTGACAAATATTGCGCTCGCGTTCATTTCCCGTTTGCGTGCGGCCACCCAATGGGCGTTGACCTCTGTAAGGACCCACACGACATTCACATTCTCATGAATACACGCATGCATGCTTCCTACGTACTGCTAACACACAATATAGGTACATTGATTGTACATGAACAATTTGAACATGGCTATCGCCTGCATACGTCCACGTCTCCCCCGGGCTCGTCTGCGGTTGTGTCTGCCCCTCTGACTCCGTCTATCTCCGGCAGCTGGGCGGCGACTCGAGCGGCAGCGCGCCGGCTCCGGCCGCCGGCGGAGGAATGGCCGGAGGCACCTCGGCCGGCCTGCTGGGAGACATCTTCGGCATCACACCCACACCGTCCAACTACATGCCTCCCAAGCAGGTGTGGTTGCCGGCCGCCAAGGGCAAGGGTCTGGAGGTGTCCGGCACCTTCTGTCGCAGGTGAGAGAGGTCGAAAGAACAAGGGAGCGCGGGGTCATGCGGGGAGACGGGGGGGGGGGGGGATTCAGTCCCCATTCTATTTTGGTTTTTGTATTTCTATAAATTGAATTGGTAATTACACGTCTCTTCCTTATCACCCGATCGCCAGTCTTATGATGAGCATGATCTTTTGTTGCCTGGATAAGTTGACACGCAACTGGACCCCGAATATTTGACTAACTAATGCACGGACAGGTAACGTTTGAGGTCCTGGTCTTGGGCAGTGGTCACTCCTCCCTGATCAGTCGCTCCACTTGCATCTCACATGCCCGATTAGCGCGCCCACCTTCCAGCTATCTTCGCCTGCCCCACCCCCACCCCTTCGAGTGACGCTGCCGGCAGCGGGCCACCCCAGCCGATTCCCTCGGGACACCCGGCCTGTTCCCGTGACTCCGTCTCTGTGTATCGGACTCCGTGACCCGCCTCTGTCTGCGACACGATGCCATTTGAGAGGCTGTCATTTACCATGGACTGCCACGGGGGGCTGAGCCGTGGGCCGGCCCGAGAGGCCGCCGTGAGCTCTGTTCTCTGAATGTGATCGACGAGACGAGTGAGGGGTGGGGTGGGTAGCGGCGCGTGGCCTTCGCCCTCAACTGGTGGTGACAGGCTTTGACCAGCTTGCTGTACTCGGCAGCGGTTTCGATGACCCGTACTGACGGGCTACGCGCGCATGACTGGCCCCGGATTTGACTGAACCGTGGAGGCCGGGTGTGCTGGCCCATAAATGTGACCTTTACACTGATCTCTGCTGACCTTAACGCCCACTAGTGACCTTCATTGATATCTGGTGGTATTCGCGGACTCCTGATAACCGTTGGTAATCCGTGACAAACTTTCTCGACCCTTGATGACCTTATGGACCCTTGACGGACTGTCTAAACCCTTTGTGTGATATACCGACCCCTGATGACCTTGCTGACCCCGTTGACCTGTGTGTCCTCAGGGCGGGACGGGTCAGCATGGAGCTTACCCTGAGCAACCGAGCCATGCAGCCCATGTCCGGCTTCGCTCTGCAGATGAACAAGAACAGCTTCGGCCTGGTGCCGGCCCAGCCCCTGCAGGTGGGTGGTGCGGGCCGGGTAGAGGAGGGTAGCGGAGACATCATTCACAGCCACTGATCGTCCAGCATATTTAGGATTGGAATTAGGGCTTATTAGAATACGTTTTATAATTAACGTTTTTTATAAATTGAGTTTGCTACAGCAAGCTGAGTTTGAAGCTGAGTTATTGCGTTTATTGCAAACTTCCTGGAATAATAGGTAGTGTTGTGGTTGTGGTTGCCAAATGAGCCACTATCTTCGAGCAACCCTTCCTCGGCATACCAGTGACTGTTTACCAACCCCACAGGCCTGAACTGCATGTAGATCACTAGAGTTCCATCTGACACAATCGATTGTGACACGTTCCAAGCTTTGGCCCCATTGGAATCGGATCGGGCGGCTCCCAGCAGTGAGGTCGGCAGATGCCGCTTGGACTGGCCCACCTGCAGTGTGAGCGAGCGCTGAGGCACTTATCTCTTGGGTGGTATGGAAGCCGTTCGGGCTGAGCCGGCGCGGCGCCCGGTGCCAGGCGGCCGACGACACGGGGACTGTCGGTACACAGGACCCGTCACAGTCCGTTGCGGGGTGTCACGGCCCGGCGCGGGCGGAGCAGGGCCGCCGTTTGACGGTGCTGGGTGCCGACAGCCACTGGGTACACACTACACAGTGACACCTCCGGATTGCCAAACTCTGCTGCGTCTGAGACTCTAACCGTCACACCGTCTGCGTCTGAGACCGCCTGGCACTGCTTGATTGACTGTTGGCCAGGGCGGGTCGTCTACCAGCCGTCAGTACCAGCCTGTCTAGGGTGGTACTGAACTGAGCCAGACCTAACCGACGACTTCGATGGCCCTCCAGCGCTGTTCTACTGGATAAGTGCGGAACTCGACTGCGTCACGCGCTGTCGTCACGGACCCTGCGTGACGGTGTTACGTGACGGTCACTGACACACCGAGGCAGCCGCCGTTACGAGCCGAATCGGACGCCGATTTGATGGCGATCAATCCGAGTTTGAGACCAATCAGTCACTTTACGACGGTCAGACTGAGCCAGACGGCCGGCCGGCGCCAGCCGGGCCGAATGCTGATTGGGACTTGTTTCCAGGAGGTTCTCCAGAGAAACGGGCGCTCTCGTAGGTGGTCTACCGCCATAAGAAGCTCTCCGCTGCTTTTCTGTGTTATGAGATAGTGCGGCTTAATACGGGCGCCGCGCTACCATATTGTGTCATGGCGTAGTTTTATGTGAGCCAATATAATCCGGCGGCTGATTACACGGCATGCTCACGGCTAATTCTATCATCGACCGCGAACGGACCCGGATCGCTAGCGGCTGCGTTCGGTGGACACTGCGCGCTGCTGGGACGCTCCGGTCAGTTACTGACCGGTGGGGAACGGCCCCTGCTGACCTGCTCCCCTGTCGGCGCGGGGTGCCGGTGCTGAGAGCTCGGCGCTGTCTGCCGGCGGTCTCGCCCTGGCCTGACTGGACTGGGTTAGGGGCGGGGTGGCGGCGGGGATGTTATGGCCCCATCGCTCTCCGACTGATCCTTTGAGCCAGCCTGATGAGGCCACAGCCGCCGTCGAACTAAACTCTCTTCGCTCCCGACCGACGCGACGGTCGGCCGCCAGCCGACCGGACACAACCAGTCGCGATTGGGTGTTCCGGATTAAAACTTAGCTCGTGTTTTGGTTCTTTGGAGTAGTGGCCGAATTTCAAATTCGAGATGGTTTTCATAATTTTCAAAGCTAAAGATTTGCTGGCTTGTTGTCGGCTCACTTTCGTAAAGCTTTGCATTGCGCTGTGTAATGGGTAACTTTTTTCGTGGATCGATCATTTCACAATTGCGAACGCTCAAATGCCCCCTGTCTTTCCGATTGGATAGTGGGTTCGTGGTCTCCTTTATCCTTTTTTTGCAACGCCGATTCTTTTCAGCAACGCTTCATGCCGGTCTTCGTCCGAACTCGGTACTACCCGTCATTTAAGTCGCTGAATGTCGCTAAATATTCATGTGAGCATCTTAGGGACATCGATCTTAGAACATAACTTAAAACGAGATGCCATGTGCAATGTGTATTGATATTTTCAGATGTTGTCAGATGTTATGTAGCACAGTTAGCATATGCAATGTGTATGCTTGCTGGCCGATCCCATTTCGAGGAGTTTAGATGACAACCCAATTGTCTTGTTTAGAAATAAATCACCAAAACAAACGTCATTGTTGTTGAAATAAGAAATGTTACCTGATTTCGACTGTCAGATGCAGGGCTGCGGAGTCGGAGTCGGAGTCGGAGTCGGTCGGAGTCGACAATTCTGCCCGGAGTCGGAGTCGGAGTCGGAGTCGATTTTAGAAACCCGAGCCGGAGTCGGAGTCGGAGTCACCGAAAATCTGTCGACTCCGCTGCCCTGCTAGGTCTGCGGAGTCGGAGTCGGGAGTTGGAGTCGGTCGGAGTCGACAATTCTGCCCGGAGTCGGAGTCGGAGTCGGAGCTGGTTTTTGAAAGCCGGAGTCGGAGTCGGAGTCGGAGTCGCCGAAAATCCATCGACTCCGCAGCCCTGGTCAGATGTTTGGACAGTGATCTGGAACCCACTCTAAATTTTAAGATCTTATATGGATTCAGCTTTTGTTTATGTGGACTGTTCATCGAAATGCCTGCCATATTACTTTATTCCCTTTGATGCAAATCAAAGTTCGACCAACGTAAATCCTGCATTCGCCGAACTGACGCTAAACGCCTTGCTTTTTACCGCGTGTTTCACACACCATCTCTTTCATTCGTAAATCGTGTCAATATTTGATCATTGGCACTCTCTCGCTGCCGCTGTGGTGGCATAGAATGACGCAATGGCTTGCACTTCCCTAAGGGGCATTATGCATCCCGAACCGGTGGCCCAGCACTGCTAAACATTTCATTTCGCCGCATTCCACCGGAGCTGATGTGTGTCTACCGTGCATTGAACTGGTGGCGGCGGCGGCCGGCTCACTGTTGGTCTATCAGTGGGGGTAGCCGGGGGGAGGGGGAGGGGGGTTCATCTCCGGCCAGCCGGCGGCGGTGTGCCGTGGACACACAGTGGAGCGGGAAGGGGGAGGGGGGGGGGCTCGCGCCACCTGCCGTGGAGTCAGACCACTCCTCTGCCGGGGAACCGGGCAGCTGCTGCGCCTAGGGGACCATATCACCCAGTCGCTGCGCTGATAGTGCAGTTATGAAAAGCTTTTTCTCTTTTCGTGTATTGGTTATGTGAAGTTGCCTAATAAGCTATTTGTTAATACATATATCTGTGCTGTGTGCGATGACCTTGATTAAATTGGATTTGTTACGCGTTTTGCAGTTACTAACACGTAACGAGTGGTCAACGAAAATCACTGCGTTACCCCCCGCAGGTAGCTCACTGTCTGATCTGTGGCGCTTTTCCAGACTCCTATGGACTTTCGACTGTCGCCCATAGTCTCCGTGGTCCACCTCGGCTACTGATGGGCGACTAACGCGCCCCTCTCCGTTCCAGGTACCCATGCCGGTCCAGCCGAACCAGAGCACTGACGTGTCGCTGCCGCTGGAAAACAACGGACCCGTCCAGCGCATGGAGCCCATCACTAACCTGCAGGTAAGTACCGGCGGCCCATCACTAACGTATAGCGAGTACCGCCGCCCCATCAATAACGCGTAGGTGAATATTGTCGGTATACCGCGAACGGTTACCGCTGGCCCGTGCTGGTGGGTACCGCCGCGCCGGCCCATCAGTAATGTGTTGGCGAGTATTGCCGGCCCATCACTAACGTACTGGCTGGGGGTCGCTGAATCTCCACTAACGTGCGGATCACCACTGCGTCCCTAACCTCCATTACATCTCAGACTACAGACAACCAAACAATCGACATTCCATCCCAGTGTATTTCACATTCCACCCGGAGTCAGAATGGTGGACGGCTGTGGAACAGACAGCGGGTCCCGTTCAGTCTCCCTGTGGTCGGTGCTGTGTGGGGTCGGGTTGGTCTGAGGGCGCCGCGGCACGGGAGGAGGAACTCTCAGCTCCGTGTCTGGACTGGAGACAGCCGGGCTGGTGACGGTCTTGGGGAGCTAGGCTAGCTCTCTCGGACTTTGCACACGACAAAAGTATAATCATCTGCGCCTGCTGTCGACCAACAGCCGTTGTTATATAAACTCATATAGGCATATAGTTGTCCAGTGCTAGTTCGTTGGCCGCTACACCAGTTGGTCCAGTTGGTTGGTGTGCCGTCGATCCAGGACCACGGGTCATCTGTATCACGTCTTTCGAGTCCAATCCAGCCGTACGAGTCTTGCATGACAGTTTCGAATACGAAGGCGTTTTCAATGTTGTCATGAATGGACACCATATGTGAGCCTCTGTACTCATTGTAGCAGACGAATTCTCCCGATCGCCATTCAACAGTAAACGGTGATAGCCAGTAGCAGTAGCCATTGTTTAGTTTCCACTCGCTGGATGGACAGCCGGCAGACGTCACGGCGGCCGTCACACTCACCGTGACGAGCCACAGCCAGGGTCCGGCGGCCATGTCGGGACACCAGTCGGTCCGGTGCGTCGATCCGAGGTGCGGCGCCGCGCGGGGTCGGCCTCTGAATCGGCGGCACGCCGCGGCCCGGCCGTCTTATACCCGCCCTGGAGTGTGGCTCTGCAGCTGATAGCCAGCACTGCGCAGAGGTCTGCCGTGGGAGCGGCGGCGACTGGCGGCATTCAGTTACTTTTATTCAATTTTGTTTTAAGTGGTGGGTTAGTCGAAGCCTTATAGGTATTTTGTTTTATGGTTTACTCGTATAGGCCGGTGTGAAGCGATGTCCCACCAGCGGCCGATTTCATAGAAGGACTCAAATGCGACTGAGGCAGTTTTTCCACCAACTTGGATGCATTTTTACCCAAACGGTATTATAAGGCGAATGCAGATGTAACCATATAATGCTATAAACTATGATTTTGGTAGACAGTCCCAAACATACGAAAACATACAACTGGTGCATGATGCGCCCTCCGATCCAAATAAAGCCACCCACTTCTTGAGGTTGTAATTTCTTGGGAGTGGGACGTAAAATACACCTTGATGTAAAATTTCTACCAAGCTTTATTGAATCGGCCGCTGCAGGTGGGCTCTTCTGTTAGCCGACACGCACTCTGGAACTAAAGGTACAGAGTCGTGGGTCCTATACCGTACCCTGCTCTTGAAGATTGGCCATTACATTTTGAAACAGAAACATTGCATCTCTAAAAATGCAAAAAAAAACTAACAACGTAAGGGAGAGACTTTCAAGGGCCGCAATGATCCACCTGCACCGCAAATTCTGCGCTTCTAAGTACCATAAGAGCTTATGACAAAAAGAATCGCATCAACGCTCTACTGGTCTGCGTTATTAAAATAGCTGTTCGGGCGAGGGTTTTGATCAGATCACAGGGTCACCATAAGTGACCTTCCTGAGAGGAAGTGCATTAGTATTTCTCCTGCCTCGTATTAACTTGACGACTTCGCTCAAACTTTGACGTTGAGACTTCGGAGCGAATGATTGAAATTATAGCATGCAAATAGGTAATGCTAAACCCGAACGATCGCTAAGCTTTGATCTAAGTTCATTTAGGGAACTCTTTATTGGTTAGAGTGAAAAAAGAAAACTGTACTTTTTGTATGAAAATCAAACAATCACACACCTTTTAAATAAATCTATTGAAACTGAATGAAAAGTGCGCCCCTTACCTGCCATAGTTTTGAGGTCATGTGACCAACCGAGAAGTTCACAAGTATTTATTTGAGGAATAACCTTCCATTGGTTGTCACAGCAAAAAGCGAAATGATTTCACCGATATTTGTCTCATCGAGGTCATGTTGTCGTATGAGTCATTTGGTGTATCCGCCATGTAGTGAGTGCTTCTAGCCCATTACTTTGCAGCTGATGGCACATCACTAATGCGCCGGTGAGAACCGATAGCCCTGGCGAGTACCTCCGGCCCCTCACTATTTTGCTCGTGAGTACCTCCGAGTATTCAGCTCATGATTGTTCAATACAATACAATACAATACAATACAATACAATACAACGAACGTGCGAATGAACGCAGCGTTTCTAACCAGCTTCATTACATCTGAGACTACACCCAACCAAACAATCGACATTCCACCCCAGTATATTTCACATTACACCCGGAGTCAGAATGGTGGACGGCTGTGGAACAGACGGCGCGTCCGGTTCAGTCTCCATGGGACCGGTGCTGTGCCGGGCCGGGCCTTGTCGGTCTGAGGGCGTCACGGGACGGGGGAGGAACTTGCCGTCCCGTGTCCAGGGACTGTCGGGAGGAGGGCTGGTTCCGTTCATGGTGAGCCAGGCTAGCTCTCTCGGATTTTGCACACGACAAAAGCTAAGCCGTTCATGTCCATTGTCGACCAACAGCCGTTTTGTTTTGGACTCATGAAAGCATACCTTGGAGCATTGTTATTTGGTTCACCGCTGCACCAGTTTGTCCAGTTGCTGGGCGTGTTATCGATCCAATGCCACCCGTCTGAACGTTTTTCAAAGCCAATCCATCCGTATCTGCCATCCAGGATGGTTTCGAATACGAAGGCGTTTTCAATGTTATCATGAATAGACGCTATATGTGATCCTCGAAACTCAGTATGACAGGTAAGTTCTCCCGATCTCCATTCGATGCTAAACGGTGACCGCCAGTAACAGTATCCGTTGTATAGAGTCCATTCGCTGGAGGGACAGCCGGCAGACGTCACGGCGGCCGTCACACTCACCGTGACGAGCCACAGCCAGGGTCCGGCGGCCATGTCGGGACACCAGTCGGTCCGGTGCGTCGATCCGAGGTGCGGCGCCGCGCGGGGTCGGCCGCTGAATCGGTGGCACGCCGCGGCCCGGCCGTCTTATACCCGTCCCGGAGTGTGGCTCTGCAGCTGATAGCCAGCACTGCGCAGCGGTCTGCCGTGGGAGCGGCGGCGACTGGCGGCATTGAAGCACTTTTATTCAATTTTGTTGTAAGCAGGGTTGTGCTCGACTAAAAAAAAAAAATTGCCGACTCGACTCATCATTCAACTTCAGAAAGCCCTCACTCAACTCTGACTCAAACAAGGAGCTGATTTTTTTCCCTTCACTCGACTCATGACTCAAGCGGCTCAATGAAAATATGAGTTGACTCAAACTTGACTCGAATTTTTTGTTGAGTCAAGTGTGTTGACTCAAAATTGACTCAGATAAAAAAGTTGTTGAGCGGGGCGGGGGTGAAAAAAAAAATCCGGCAGCAGGGCCAGGCCTAAGTTGTTCAGCGGGGGGAGAATGAAAAGCTTATATATTGTTTCTAGAAAGATGAGTCAGCTGACTCATGTTCCTCAATGTTTTTGACTCAACTCAATGTCAAAAGTTATTTTACTGACTCAACTCTGACTCAACTCAACACCTTAATATTTTTGTCTGACTCAACCATGACTCAACTCAACAGCTCAACATTTTATCCGACTCGACTCAAACCTGACTCATCTGAGTCAGAGTTGAGTCAAATCTCTGACTCGACTCATGAGTCAAGCACAACCCTGGTTGTAAGTGGTGGGTTTCAAGTCGAAGCCTTATAAGTGTTTTGTTTTATGGTTTATAAAGCAGGCCGGTGTGTAGAGATGTCCCACCAGCGGCCGATTTCATAGAAGGACTCAAATGCGACTGAGGCAGTTTTTCACCAACTTGGATGCATTTTTTACCCAAACGGTATTTAAGGCGAATGCAGATATAACCATATAATGTTATATACTATGATTTGGGTAGTGGATATAGTAAAATACAGTCCCAAACAAACGAAAACACACAACTGGTGCATGATGTGCCAGCTCCGATCCCAATAAAACCACCCACTTCTTGAGGATGTGATTTCTTAGTGCGTAAAATAATACACCTTGATGTAAAATGTCTACCAAGCTTTATTGAGTCGGCCGCTGCAGCTGGGCCCTTCTGTTAGCCGACACGCACTCTGGAACTAAAGGTACAGAGTCGTGGGTCCTATTCCGTACCCTGCTCTTGAAGATTGGCCATTACATTTTGAAACAGAAACATTGCATCTCTAAAAATGCAACAAAAAAAACTAACAACGTAAGGGAGAGACTTCCAAGGGCCACAATGATCCACCTGCACCGCAAATTCTGCGCTTCTAAGTACCATTAGAGCTTATGACAAAAAGAATCGCATCAACGCTCTACTGGTCTGCGTTATTATTTATTAAAATAGCTGTTCGGGCGAGGGTTTTGATCAGGTCACAGGGTCACCATAAGTGACCTTCCTGAGAGGAAGTCATGCATTAGTATTTCTCCTGCCTCGTATTAACTTGACGATTTCGCTCAAACTTTGACGTTGAGACTTCGGAGCGAATGATTGAAATTATAGCATGCAAATAATGCTAAACCCGAACGATCGCTAAGCTTTGATCTAAGTTCATTTAGGGGACTCTTTATTGGTTAGAGTGAAAAAAGAAAACTGTACTTTTTGTATGAAAATCAAACAATCACACACCTTTTAAATAAATCTATTGAAACTGAATGAAAAGTGCGCCCCTTACCTGCCATAGTTTTGAGGTCATGTGACCAACCGAGAAGTTCACAA